CTTTACATAAAAAATTAACTGTTTTAAAATGATTAATTTATAGATACCCAAGAGCTTATCAGGCTGGAATGCCGCAAGTATGAACATCTTATGAGTATATTGTCTTGTTGAAGTGATTATATTTTTATATCTGAACACAAATATATTCATAAATGGGTCTAAAATGCTTGCCAGGGAATCACTTAAAAACCACTGGAGCCTGATTTGCTTGAGAAAATCTTCCTAAAGCAGATTTTAATTTCATTTATTTTAATTTTCCTTATTGCCCCACAGCTGCTTCCTGAGACTCATTCGTCATTTATGCAACAGCAGAAACCAGGGAGGTTATTTTGCATTTTGAAACTCCCTCAGTATCAAAACAGCGACACACACACTCATTAAACCAAGGTCTTTATACAATCAAGCTCTTCAAATACATTAAATTTGTGGGAATTAAAATGACCAAAAACCTTCCATTTTTGTGTGTTTTACTGGGATATTCTGTGATTAACAGAAAGCAGGATATAACTGTGTAATGAGCTTATCATTCATGATTTAATATATGCTTTTTAAAAAAATCTGAAGTATGCATTTGTATTCAGTCAGTTTTGTTGATATCTCCATAGAACCACCTGTTGTGATCTGGGGGTGTGTGGGTTGTTTGCGTTTCTTTCTATGTTTGAATTTTATTTATGCTTAACCCAGATTTCATACATCAGAGATCAGATAGTTCCATATGTTCCTAATGTAGTTTTCTCAATTGTAAGGTGTGTATGATTGGATTAGAATTACCTCAAGATGACATTTGTTATAAAATGGCTTGATATAATTAAACTGCATTGAACAACTGAATTGAATATTAGTTGACTCTATTTCCTGCTTAGTTTGGTCTTTCCTTTACCTTTTCCTTGCCTGGGTTTTTGACATGTGATCAGCCTTACAACTACAAATCTATAAGCTGGTATCTATTCAAGCATAGTACTTGTAGAAACTAAAAAAATATATCAGTTTTTCTCTGCTAAGTATTCAAACTCAGTCAAATTTCATAATGTGCACTATTAATCTCAATTGGATTTAGATCTGGACTTTGACTGGGCCATTCTAACACAGCTCTGGTTGGATCCTCATAAAGGTTGTACTACCAGAAAAATTACTTTTTTCTTTTTTCCGGAAAAATAATGCCATTGACATTGTGGCTATTTATTAATACTCCTTGGAATTGTGTCTTTTTCAAGGATATAATTTTATAACCACGCAATGATTCAAGCTTTTCCACAACTGTTTCCTTGTATCCCTTCAGTTACTGATGTTCAAAACAGAAGTGAATAAACACCTGAAATGTACTGAAATTAAATATAAATTGATTCTATTTACCATTTAGGTGACTTCACTATTCATCTTGCTCTTCACAGCTATGCTTTACGTTACCGAAACAGAAGGACATTATAACTTCTGCGGAGAGTTTATTCATATTCTTTAATCATTTAAGTTCTATAATTTCAAGGAGAGGTTTTTTTATTCATTCTGATTTAGCTGTAGAGTTAAACTCTGAAATGTGTCACATGTATCTCTCCAGAGTTTTGAAATACTTCAGCCAGCATATGTTGAGTCCCCACCCATTTTTCTGGCATTTCTGCACCAAGACGTTTTCACTGCTTCTCCTCAAACCTAATGAGACATTTTTGACACACCAAGAAAAGCTAAAAATGCCCACCATATTTCCCCTAACAGCTTGGGCACCCTGGTCCAGAAGCTATGAACAAACTGCTTCTCTGTGCCTTATTATTTATCCCTTTATTTTGCTGCTCTGGCTGACCATTTGCAGAGAGTTGGGACAAACATATGGGAAGGGAAAAAAGAGGAAACAAGGCATTTAGTTAGAGCAGCATGAGGACTTATACTGAGGAAACATGTGGGTGAGGTTTTCATCTCCTGAACTGACAAATCAAATGCACTTCAATTTGTGCATGCAATTTACACATGGACTGCCACGTTTCATTCAATAATGGGTGATATGGAAATCAATCAGCCAATAATTTGCTTGAATGGACTAATCCATCACACTGAATGTCAAAATGTTCAGTTTTTTTCAGTATCTGACGTGTTTAGTATAGATGACGCTTCCAAATTCATCACAGCGTTAAGATTATATTTATGTGGATATGAATAAGAACCAGCAGAGACAATGAATATATCACATTATGACATTATGTGCTCTCTGCCACAATTTCTGTTCTAATTTAGCAAACAGAACCAGAGTTATGGGACATCTAGATAATATCTGTTATCATGGGAACTTGATACTTTAATATTATTCAGAAGAAGGAAAGGGAAGAATAAAAGGCTATGGATGAATAAGAAATATTAAATAAATATAATGCAAGTTGTTGCCCCCCAGAATTTCTGAAAGTTATACCTTTTCAGTCTGTAATCCCCAACAGGTTTGTTCATTTGATGGAGTCAGCAAAAGATCTCAGACTGGAGCAATTGTTCATTTTCTGGAATATCAATGTCCATAAACCTACAGCCAGAGATGCACTGAAATAGTTCAGCGTGTTCTAAGCATGTGTTGGAATGGCCCAGTCAAAAGTCCAACTGGAACTTAATGCCAAGGTTTGAACTCTGATGCATGAAGCGTGAGCCTTGGCAACCACCTATTCCTTTTTTGGGAAATTATCAGTTCATAAAATATTATTATTATTATTATTATTATTATTATTATTATTATTATTATTATTATTATTATTATTATTATTATTTTATTATTTTATTTTTTGTTGTTGTTGTTGTTGTAAATTTACCAAAATAAAGTTAACCTGGATGTTAAAAGTAACTCTTTCAGTTCGATTACATTTGAGCTACTACACTTTTAATGTCAAAAGATTTTTTACCAAAATGTACATCTCTGATTATGCAAATGAGCACACATCCTTTTCTTTCCGCTTCAAGTTTATGCACAATTTTACATTATTTTATTTTTTATATCCCATAAAATCCTAATTAAACTCAAACAAGTTTGTGGTTGTTGCTTGACAAAATGCAAAAAATAAGTTTAAGGTGGATGAATACTTTTGCAAACAACTGAACATTTTCATTAAACAAATTAATCAAGACAAGAAAAAAATATATTTTGTATCATATTCTTAAGCCAATGGTTTACTTGTGTCTGAAGAAATAAAGCCTAATATTTTTCTAATTCAAATCTCAAATCATCTAAATACTTGAGTTGCATGCTCTTGGATAAATTTTAGCCTCCACACTGAGCCTTTCAGACCTAATTAAGAGTTTCTATGAGGCCCTCTGCTGTCAGAAGTCCACTTTTTTAATTCCATCGCTTTCCTAATTTAGCTGCCAGTCATTTGGGCTCATATCCAAAATGCCCAATCTTTGTGAACTAATATCAGGCTTCTCCATCTGTGACCAATTAAAGCCCTTTTACACTGATGCCATCATATGTTAGCTGCTCTTCATGCATTCATAGCTGCAAAAGCAGGGGGTTAAGGGATCATTTCAGCTGCCCTCATTACATTTCCTTCACGGGCATCATTTTATCCATGTCACGATGGCTTGACCCTGCAACCTGACACATTCTACCTACTTTTTAAAAAGTGTGATTAGTAGTTCTGCCAGGAGAAAAGCAACTCCAACCTTAGTTTGAGGTCAGTAGCTAAATCGATCACTAAACCTCACCAGGGACTGTTCTGAACTTTTTCTTATAAAAACAAAATCCTTGCAGAGCAGCTGGTTTTGAGTCAAACAGAACTGGTCTGTAAATGACTATTTATCTAGTGGTGTACTGTTTTTTCCACTAACAAATGTAAGCTGTCAATAAAAGCACAAGTGGGTAATGAAGTATTGATTTTCACAGCACGATTTCACATAATATAGAGTTTGAAAAGAATCCATTGAAGAAAAAAAACCTGCTTATTCTGCTTTATGTGCACTTGTGTCAATTATCTCAGAAGAGGTACAAGAACAAAGGTGGTTTTAATACATTTTATAATCTTTTGACATATTTGAACATAGATTCTGAAAGATTTGGGTTGCATTTGAGTTTCAAGAAGTTCAACTTTACCTGTTTGAGTCAGAGCTTGACCCTCGTGCATCTAACAATATTGGGGACTACTATTGCTAACTCAGCAGAAGCATGTAGTCTGTACTCATTCTGCAATAGTTTATCTGGACAGTTTCTTTTTTAACTGGAATTTTTCACAAACAACCAGGGAGAAATTATCTACTATTTGTTGTAACATTAACAAATGCCATGTTGATATAAAAGATAGATTGGTTCAAATAGATAGAACTACCACTCACTACCAAGGTCGGTAAACACGGTATGATCACTGAAACTTGACATTAATGGATTGAGGAAATGATTCATGGCCAGCTGCTTCTCCATTTCAGTTGTTACATTTATAAAGGGTCATGAAAAAGAAATGTTCTTGGTGGTTTAATAGTGGGGTAAATTTCTTTGGCACACTTTTCGTCCCTAAATGCCAGTTGCCATTCAGACACCACCTGAATGTTGTAAATCATATTATTAATGGCTGATCAAAATGGCTACATCAAGCAAGATGTCACAAAAAATGTCACAAAGCTTACACTATAGTAGACTAGTTCTTTGAACACAACGAGTGGGCAGCATTTAATTAAGTGGCCAGTGGCTCTATCTCTAGAGTGACATCGATCAAATTAACATGTCAGGTTAGTAGCATTGAAGTACTTAGAATATAATGATAAGGTATAACATTTCACTGTTCTTCAGTAAAAGTTAGCCTGAGCTGAGGAAAATACAGTATCAAGATGGCTCATGTAAAAAAAAATTAAAAAGTAAAGCAGATATGTCTTCACTGTAATTTAGTTTCATCAAATGTCACCATTGTAAATCCGAGTAATAACAGGACATACTTCCGTGCACTATTAGAAAATAAATATGGTGATCTGCCACCACCTAGTGGCCACACTGCGCAATTCAGTGGCGTCCTTCGCTACGTCATACAACAACAAGGAAGTAGCGACCAAACAATCAGCACCGTGGTTGCATGGGTAGATTTACTGTCACTGATTGATTTATCATTATGAAACTTTGACCTTGCATGAACAATAAGCATTAAAAAAAAGATTTTTAGTCTTTATTTTTAAATTTTTTGACCGTACAATGACTGGGTGTATGCCTGTTTTTTGTTGTTGTGTAGTTCGGTGAAGTATCATGGAGAAATACTCCCATGTTAGAGTGATCGGGGAAGGGTCATTTGGTCGGGCTGTGTTGGTGCTATGCAGAAACACTCAGGATAAATATGTACTTAAGGAAATACAGCTGCCAAAGGTGGGTACGAGCATACTCTTTTAAATGTAGCTTTGACCTTATTTTACAATAGAATAATTATTTTCAAAGGTTATATTAGTAAAAGAGTCAAATAGTTTTCATTTTTTATAAAGAAAGTGACAGATTAAAGTATGTTTTAAGCAAATGCAGGTTATTGCTTATTTACAGGAGATGGTCAATGTTTATTGTTGCATTTTACAGAACCAGTCCAAATTGCAAAGTTCAAGAAGGGAAGCTGTTCTACTGTCCAGAATGAAGCATCCCAATATTGTGGCTTTCAGGGAGGCATTTGAAGGTAATTTTAAACAGTACAGTTAAAATGATTTCCAGCATCTTAAAGTATATATTTTTTTATTTTATTGACTTTAATGTTTTTTATTCAAGTTGGATGCGTTATACCAACATGAAGTATTGGTTCTTCCTTGTATGAACCACTACAATGCAAGTAGAAAATGTGACAACATAAATTTTATGTCTGGACTTTAACTGAGCTGTCCTACTACAAACATGCTTTGTTTTAAACTCTTACACTGTAGCTCTGGCTGTATGTTGGAAGGTGACCATAGGCCAATGATTCTTAAGAAAATACATTAAAATCAATTAACCGCAACTTTAAGTGAGATTTGTCAACACTATCACTGAAAGAGTCACACTGTCAGTAAAAACTGATGGAGTTGACAAAACATCAAACTATTTATATGATGTTACTCTGAAGGAAGCCATTTTGTTGCTCATCAGGTCCATGAAATGTTTGCAATATAAAAATGACGTATTTGGTTCACAATATTTCAGCAAAATTTTGCAAATTGTCAGTCATGGCATTGACACATTATGGTTGTGACGAGCAACTTAGGAATAAAACAGAAGAACTGACGGTGTTGACGAAAACTTGAGACAAATTTCAATTGAGTTAGAAAATATATAAAAATGATTTTTAATTAAATTTATATTATCTTAGTATTCTTTTATTTGTTTTAAACTATTATAATGTATTGAGTTCTGCTCCAGGACAAGGGATTTTAAAGACACCATCCACCTACAACAAAGTTTAAAAATAAAAAATATTCAGCAAACTTACATTGCTGTCCTCACATAGCCCAGATTAGTTTAGTCAGATATTTGAAAAAAAAATTATTTTGTGTATATTTTATTCAAATTTTGTCCTTTATCCATAGGCCCTGTTTTGTCCATCTACTCAAGAATCACTGAGGCCACAGTCTCAGGTCTTTGGCAGCTTCTGAGAAACTGAAGAAAATGTATTCCATCTCTTTATTGAGCTGGGGTTATAAAAGTTTCTGGCCTCTGGTCCAGACCATAAAATATAAATAAAACAGATCAAAGTTTGTGGTCGAACAGGACAAAATGTAAAAAAGTTCAACCGTTGGGAATACGTTTTACTCCGAGCTGTGCAAATATCTTTGGATAAGATGAAAGGAAATGTGGCTGTGTGTTTCCAGGGGACGGCCTCTTGTGCATTGTTATGGAGTACTGCGGTGGAGGAGATCTGCTTCAGAGGATCCAGCAGCAGAAATCCTCTCAATTCACTGTTGAAAATGTAGGTCGATTTCCCTGAAGCTGTTTTTTGCTACTGATCTTATTTTTGTCCCCGTTCTAAAAAATTTCTTCCTCTTCCCAGATCTTGAAGTGGTTTGCTCAGATGTGTGCAGGTGCAAAACATATTCACGATAAAAGGGTTTTGCACAGAGATTTAAAGTCCAAGGTAGAGTAGCATCAAAGTATGGATTAATATATCGGTTGAAGTGAATTGCTCAACCGTAACAGAGAGGAGTGCATGATCACCCTCTTGTGCATAATGTCATTTTGCCACAGCTGAATGCTCTTATGTTTTGCCCCACGTTAAATCACCACTTTGGTCTCATTTCCTGTCGCAGAACATTTTCCTGACTGATGACGGTTCAGTCAAGCTTGGGGACTTCGGCTCTGCTTGTGTTCTGAACAGGTGCTCCAGGAAAACACATTTAGATCGCCTCTCCAGGCTGATTTCTCACTGCTGCTTTCGCTGCAATATTTAAAAAAAATGACTGTGAATTTCTTGCAGCTCAAAAGCTTATGCTCAAGCATATGTTGGGACGCCGTATTATGTGGCACCAGAAATCTGGGACAACAAGCCGTACAACAACAAGAGGTACGCTGCAGTTGTTATAAACCTAATTATAAATTCTTTAGTGATTAAAAATAATTAACAGACAAACCCAAAAAAAACTCTTATCTTTTTCGTTTGTCCTGTTGGCAGAAATAAAACCAGGCTTCAATAATTTTCTTTATTTCTCTAATAAAAGTTTGGATGTTTCTTTTCTCTATAGCCAGAGGAGGATGTTCATCTTTAAAAAAATATACATATATATAAAATTAAGTAACCACAGAGCACAGATTTCCTGTAGAACTTCATCCCCTTTCAGCAATAAGTTTTGCTGCTTAATAGGATTTGTGGAGGAGTTGTTTTCAGAAGACTCTCTAAGCCCACGGTGGGCTTGCCTTTACAGATTCCTGCCAGTTTTTAACGTGCTTTTGCATGCAGATCAAAACGTTGGCCTACATACAGATATCTGCACAAATTCTGCAGCGATTAAATCATATTATGCACCATGTCTGGAAATCCTTCAGTTATTCAGTTGCAGTTTTACAATTGAAAATATAATCATTCATTCCTATATATGATTTTCTTTTTAGAAACACCTGGGCGTTATGCTGGACGTAGGTGTGTTTTAGGAGGTTCAGAGGTCCAATGTGAAGTTTTGGTAGATGGAGAATTTGTTTCTTTCCTTGAATTGCTGGTAGTTCAGGGTTGGATTCTTTGAGTGTGGGTGTGTTGACTCAAAAAACCCAAAAATAACCTCCTATTAAACACTTTTACTGTGCAACTATTATTCATTTAATCCAAAAAGAAACCCATAAACAGATCAGTCCTCAATTGTATTAATGTTAAATCAACCAGGAAGGGTTGAGCTTTTTAAATATTGATGTTAAAAGTATTTTTTTAGCTGCAGATGCATCTTTTGCTACAAATAATCATACACCAAATGCTTTGTTGTTGTGTTTTTGCAATGACATTTTTATTTTCTTGTATAAAGACAAATCAAGTTATTTACTTATTTGCACTTTTTGAATGTTCAAATATTGTATAAAAATAAGCTTAAGTTAAATGAAAAATCTGCAGAATTTAATGTTCGGAACAATTAATTAGCTAATTCAATAAAGTCATTGGATTAGATATGTAATATGTAATTTTATCCCTGACAGTACAGGGCAGCTTAATGTTTCGCTAAGCTGTCAGGACAAGACATGTAAAAAAAACAAAGGAAAACAAGGTGGAGTTTTGAAGTGAGGCTTAGGCTCAGTTCCCAGCTGAACAGGAGTTATGTAACTCATGTGATCTTGCTTCTCTGTGCATGACGAATGTCTGGATTGAATGAATAACCACTTCTTTCTTTTTGTGTGCAGTGATGTATGGTCGCTGGGCTGCGTCCTCTACGAGCTCTGCACCCTGCGACACCCGGTACTCGTCCTCCCCTGTCCTGAGTTTAACCTCTGCTTAAATATGTATGAGTCACTGACTAAAATCAGCTAGATCAGCCTCATGTCAGCTGAGTTAAATTATCTGCTGTGTTTTTTTGGCTCGGCTGTGGTTTTGTCTTTCTGACCCTAACTCCCATTTTCTGTGTTCAGTTCCAGGCGTCCAGCTGGAAGAGTTTGATCCTAAAGGTGTGCCGTGGCGCGTACCCTCCGCTCCCCAACCACCTGCCTTACGAGCTGCACTACCTGATCAAGCACATGTTCAAGACTAATCCGAAAGACCGGCCGTCGGTGCACACAATCCTGACCTCTCACCGGATTTCCAGACTCCTGCGCTCTCATCTGCCCCCACAGGTGGAAACAAGACACACACTCTGGGTCCAAAGTGATTTTACTGCTTGTTCTCTGACAGGAATGTCAAAATCAGTTGAAACTCTTACTCATGTTCCTCATCTGTGGAATCTGATAAGCTCATGTTGGTTCAGATGGTGCTGCAGATTTTATTAAGCGTTGCACTGACTGCTCTGGTTTGAACCCTAAATAGGTTTCAGAAGTGGAGGAAGAAAAGAGGCGAACGGCTCGATGGAAGAAGGAAGAAGGGCAGAAAGTGGCCAATTTTCTGGGAGAGAAGAGTTTAATAAAAACATCAACAATTGAAGGTGGAAAGTTCAAAATGCTTGATTTTAACGTGTCTTAGGAAAGCATTCCTAATCCTGGAACACTTTCACTGTTTTTTAGGCTACTTCCACAAACTCAAGTGTATTTTATTGAGTTTCATGTCAACCATCAACATAAATCAGAGCAGAATTGTGAAGAGGAAGAAAAAGAATATGTGGAATTTGCTAGTCTGATGTAAAGTCACATTCCTTAAAATAGTGTTTGTAATATACAGTAATGTTATTAAATAATTTGTACAAATTTAAAATTAACAAAACATAAAAATGGTAGTGAGATTTAAATTATTGATTAAAAATAATTTGAATATTATTTAGAAGGGTGATATAATAACTGTTTGCACTTCACAATAATTTATTACTTTATTTTATATGTTCTATCACATGAATAACATTATTGCGATAAACGTTAATATTGATGTGGGACTGCTTTTAAGTTATATGTTTTGATAATAGCATAATAATGCAAGTTCATGCTCTCAAACACCAATGAACCTTCATTTTGCAAAACTCTTGGAACTGTAGTATATTTCAAATATCTAAAATCAAGCAACCACCAAAAGCAATAAAAGGACGATAAAAACCACAGAAACTATGAATAAAATGGATTATGGGGTCTCCAAACAAAGTTGCCCATAAAAAAATATTAATTAACTTATTGAGCTCATTTTACTTTATAATGCAATTAATTGATTAATCTCTTACTGCGACGGGCTTAGGTGAAGATTTACCTAAAAGCTGCTGTGAGAGTTCAGAACCAGGCTGTAGGAAGGAGTGGACGGCTGAGTCACCAAGTGCTGTGCTGCAGATGTTGGCCAACGCCAGCCTGGTTTCATCAGACAGCATGGCTGCGGCTTGCCAGACCGGCTCTACCCATGAAAGTACGATAGCAGCGGAATTTAATTTCCTGAACTGTTCGCAAGAAAACTAGATTCCCGTGTTCCTTCCTTGTTGTTCCAGGTGACTCGGAGGCCAGCAGGCAGAGAAAGCAATGGGTGCGGGAACCTCCTGAGCAGCTTCTGGGCCTGCTGGAGAAGGCTCAGCTGAACAAAGCTTTCAGCACCTTTTTGGTTCACAGAGGAGGTCAAGAGCAGGCTTTAAACATCTTTTTTTGCCCTAAACATCCTCAGTGAAACATTTAAATCAGGGGTGCCCAAAGTCGGTCCTCAAGGGCCGGCATCCTGCACATTTTAGTTCTCTCCCTCTCTTCCAGGTGGTGTAAAAGGTTTTTCTTTGATGCAGTTTTTTCTGTTTCCAGATGACAACCCACTGGTTGGGCCTCTCTCCCGGCATCAGGGTGATGACACTGATGGGCCCGAGCTAGAAGTAGTGGACGAGTGCAGACTGCAGCCTCGCTCTGATGATGAAGACACGTAAGAGCATTTGCTTTTTTTCACACATTTTATGTTATAGTTATTCTGACGTTCTTGTCATGTAGGGTCAATAAGAATTAGAATTCAACTTTAATGTCATTGCATAATGTCACACGTACAAAGCGACGAAATGCAGTTTGCATCCATCCAAGTGCTTAACAAGAAAACAAAAATATATTAAAAAATGTACATTGAAGTTTTTCATTCTTTAAAAAATATGCTAAAAAAATAAGTGTCACGAATTAGTCATAAGTTTAGAAGGAAAAACAGTATTTGTGTCAATTTGACAGATAAAATCACAATAAGATACACAGAGGCTGTAAGATGAGCAAATGTGACAAGTTTAAATGCTTGTCAATATTTTTTAAAGCACTCCATGTTGCTTTTTGTGCCACTTTAGAAAGTTAATGTACAATGGAAACCAAGAGGTTTCACAAAATGTTCTTGTAGAGAGAACAATCTCAAAGATAAACAGTGAATAAGAAGCAGCTCAGTTAGGGATGTTCTTTCTTCTCGAATAGCTTTGGCAAATCTCCAAAATCAGCCCAAATAATTTAACATTGGTCCATAATATTTATAAGCAAGGTAATGCTGCATTCCAGTTAGCTGGGAAGTCTGAGCTGTGTTTGACGTCAAACCTGAGGTTCCAGTTAAGAAGTCTGAATTTCAACATGGCAACGCCCAGAAACATTGTTTGCAATAGCTCTAATAAGCATCATTTTAAGCTTTACTTTCCATAGCAAACACCTCCTTTAATCTGTTCAGTGTAAATGTAACATTAATTTTTGACGCACTTACATATGTGTCTTGTAAATTCAACATGTTTCCACCACATTTGACTACTGTTAATATGAGAAGCAGCCACCCTGAAATGCAAAGTTGACTTGGGGTGGTCAAAGTTTCTGAATGGGAAATCCGACTTGAAAGGGCATTCCAGTTGATTTTTCTGAATTTCCCAGTTCTGACTGGAACACAGCATAAGCCTGTGGAAAGCAACCAATTTAATTAAACTTTGCTGACTATAACAAGAGATTATGCAAATGTCCTATTAATGGCTTCAAAAGAGTGTGATTAAAATGAAACTTAATATTAGTGGTAGTATCTTCTGCACACAATTCTGGTTTTTGAATTTCAAGTTGTTTGTTGTATGATCATTCTACCCTGAAACAAAAGCCGAAAATATCCTTAAATACCCAAGTATCACATCTAAAGTCCAATAATGAAGCTTCAAATGGCCGTAAATACAAAGGAATGCCCAAACTGTGAACATTTCCTGTAAATTTCAATGGATCTGTTGGACTTTTCGTATATTTCTGAGCCAGCCTGTGTAAAAATAAACAGTGCAGACGCTGAATATTGATGTGGACAGAGTAAGCTTTCTGAGTACCTGCAGAATGCCTGGAATGTGTTAGCTTTGTATCGTTTCTATAAAACAGTTCTCCTATGAAAACATTGTTAAAATTCATTGTATTGTGTATTCTGTCCACACAGGGACTTTGAGGAAGAATCTCCCTGTGACTGGGTGGCTGAAGTTGAGAAAATATTTTCAGAACACTAAAGCCTCGTTCCTTCAGACCTCAAACAGAAAACACTAACTTTTCAAACGTGCCAAACTTTCTTTCTTTTTTTTTTTTTCTACAACGTTAGTTTGGGAAAATAATTGTGTCTTTAAATGTTTGTTTTCTGTGAGGTGTGTGTGTGTTTTTTTTAACCGAGTGGAACATCTGCTCCGGACTTTTTGGGACGTCGGTGATAAGATTCCCTGAAGACTGAAGGCTGTCTCAGAGGCAGCTCCTTGGGAAGTCAGGAAATATTAAGACCCACAGAAGCCCATTTCCTCTGATATCAAAAGTAGACTAAACATGTCTTGTGTATAATATTATTTGACTTTCATGCTCTTGAATTATACCTAACATTGTACACATCTGGCTCTTTTGTCTGTTGCTTTGTTTTATTTATGTTGTAGTAGACGGGCTTTGTTCTTTCTTCATTAAATGTTGATCTCACACCACTAGGTGGTGTTAAAGCTGCTGCCTGGACTTGGATCAAATCGGAAGTTATAAGGAATATCTTAAGTTGAATTAAATATGATGTTTATTCTTGTTACAAGGGAGATTAAGGAAGAGGCGTCCCAGTGTAAAATGAGTCTAGTTTTTCAATTTAAAAGCTTGACATTGTGGAAGAAAAGAGAACAATAGAAAAACCACAAGTTTGGCAACAAACAAAGCCAAGCCCAAGCCTCGCCCAAGACGTTTTGGGCTCACCAGGATATAGACTAAACTATGAAGAGGCTGATTCACCAACAGTCACTCCAGAGATGAATTATCCTGGTTACCAAAGTTTATCCGGAGAAGGAAACCTCCTCCTCCATGACAGGAGTTTCCTCGCCATGAGCTTTTCAGCCTGCCTGGGAATTTTTTTTATTTTTTATTTTTTCAAATAAGGAAGCTCAGTGATGCAGCTCTGCGCTTATCTTGAACTCACAAAAAAATCCACATCCAGAGTTTACAGTCCACCCCTCTCCCTGCTTTTTGAACTTTTTTTTTTTTTCGCGTCCCCCTCGAAACTCCTCAAAGAATGCTTGTGTTCAGTGAAGATACAGATAAAGTGGAGCTGCAAAGTTGGCTTATAGTGCCACCAAGTTCTGTGTCCTGCAGATAGGAGGGTCTCCCCTCAGTGGTCGAGATGAATTTTAACTGTGTCCTCACAACTCACCATATGACATGAATAACTTTCCTCTTTGTGGTCTCAGACCTTCAGTCATTTTCTAGTAGGAAATGAAAAAAGTAGCTCTCAAAAGATAATAAAACATTGTAAAAGCTGTATAAATTTGGGAAGTGAATATCCTTTATCTGTTTTATTTATAATGTAATGAAAAATGACAAGTCAAATATTATTTATGCCCTTCTCAGAGGTCAGTGGTAAAGATGCTAATGGCATTTCTGCATTCAAACAGTAGTTATATAGTTGATTTTTTTTGTTTGTTGTGTTGTAAGGCCTTGTTGCCATTACCATAATCTTTAGCTCCCTGCAAGGCAGGACTCTGACTTCCAGTAATGAGAAACATCTTGGTAGGAAAATCCCACGTTGAGAAATAATTGTCTCAGTCAAAATCATATTGGCTGGGGATAACATTGGTTCATCATAAGTCGGAAAATGCATAAAATAAGTAGCTGCTCTGTCTAAAACCGAACCACAGGGAAGGCTCAAAGAGGAACCATTTCACCTCCAGATTCTAGTAGACCTACATAGGGTTTTAGTTTTGCAATGGCAGCAGAGGAAGTGAATGAAGCCATTGAGCAATTCAAGCTGGAGCAAAATAAATGCTTAATACTTTTTTCTTGATTTCTACAATTTAGGTACTTGAAAAAACTTGTAATATACTAAGCAGTTTGTGTAGATCAGAGGAACAAAGCTTTTGTAGCTTGCTAATATTTATGTTTTTCTCCTCCTCTTTTGACTTTGTCTGAGCCTAAAAAAGTACTGAAAGCTTGTAAAAAAATTTCTCGACAAAATGTGGAGCGAAAAGGCTTCCTCTTGCAGGAAGGATGTTGAGTTATGTCTGGCGTATGTCATAAATGAGCCAAAGAAAGCCCTGTCTGGGGATGAAATCCATCTGTTTATCACTTAACACTCCTACTCTCTCAACAAGTGGGACTTTGGAAACAAAAGAGGAAGCACAACTTTTAATTTAAGCATGTCTGATTATTATTATAACTAATACTGTGTTTAGAGCAGAAGAGGCCTGCTTCAAACTGCAGCTGTGTTTGCTGACAAAAGCGAGCAAAAACACTACAATGCCTCAGCGATGTTTCATGAAGTGAATCTGTTTACATGAGAGAAATCTGTAAACCTGAACCACACACTGTGGTGTCGCATTTCCTTCTCAGTCTTTGTTGCTCTGAAAAGTTTTCCATCTTGTGTTTTGGCGTGGACACTTGTGTCATGGTGAAATTGTATTTTACTTGGGCGCTTAATCTTATTCTTTTCCTGCTAGTTCTGGTGACCTGATAGCAGACAATCAAGAAACATCCTCTCTTATCAAACGATGCACTTAAGAACCCCTCATTTTGTCTATCTAGCTCGGCTGCGCACGTCGCCTTCTCAGTTGCTGTCATTACTCTTGATGAAATGTTGGTGCTGGCTATCGGCAGCAATCTCAATTCCCCTTTTGTGTCTGTTTTTGCTCCTGCTTTCGATTGTCCCGAGTTTCACTCAGGAAGAGCTCTACAGATGCAAGATGACCCAATGATCTCTGTCTGGCTACTGATGCTTGGAAAGCCGTTTTTCAATCAAAACGCTTCGTTGCCTCTGCAACCCTTTTGTTTTAGTTTGCTTGGACGCGACATGTGGATCTATTTTTATGCTGTATTTGCATTTTCGATTAATACTTAAGGCTTTACTGGAAACTTGCTGACAGTGAGAACCTTGAACATGAATCATGCGTTAAGAAGAAGGGCTGTCTATTCTTGATGGGGAGCAGCTCTTCCTGTTAATAACAAAGCACTTTGGCGCTGCTTGGGAGTCTCTTTGCAACTATAAATACGAGAGCTGTCTTTGTTATGATTATTTCTAGCGCGTTGCAGCGACCCTCCATTGTGTGCTCGCCACTGTTTTGATGCTCTGTGTCACACAATAGAAATTGGCGTTACCAAGAGGGTTTTGGTGTGGTCGAACAATTTACTAGTGGCTAAAAGATTATGAACAGTTAAATTTGGATATGGGTGATTATATGAAATGGGATGCAGTTAGACTTGTTTAAAACTCGATTATTTTTAGAGCAAAACTTTGTATGAGCTGTGCGACTTTTAATTCTGCTGCCATGTCCTCATGTAGACAATTATAGAACCACAATGCACAATAACCAGGGATGGCTGGTGTAAGTGAATAAGGCTGAGCCCTCCCTGACATTTACAATACAGTTGTTAAAATAAATATGGAAAGCTGTTAAAGACATACCACAAAAGATCTGCAGCTGGAATTAGAGCGAAGATTGTTTCGACAAAGTGTTGATTTAGGGAGGCTGAATAAAGAGGCATATATATGACCATTTCTGAAAACCATGCTTCATTTACCTTTAACTTCCTACAGCTATGTGTCAGTTTGTCACATTATATCCCAATAAAATACATTAACATTTAAGGTTGAAATTGAGAGAAAAATCAAGAAAGCCACTTTATTTTTGGACATTTACTTGTTCTGAGTCATACGTTTTATTACAGGTACAGTACATTTAACGAGAAGGAACCTGCCAATTAGCCTCAGAACAAAATGGAGAATGAACACAGCTGAGAAAATAAGGGATTTAAAAAAATACAGACTCATTTAATTCAAAAGCATGTTTATTTTTGTAGCGCAGGGATGCAGAAGCAAACATACTCAACTGGTAATCTTCTGCAAGCCTCTCCAGGATGTCCTTAATGGACACACCTTAACAGGTACAGCAACAGCAAACAACAACCGGCAGGCAAAGACGGCAGTAAATTAGAATATTACTGAAAAGTTAAATTTATTCCCGTAACTCACAATGTGAAACAATACAAGTTGTTGTTTTTAAAATGTACTTTGAATCTAATATACATGCTTTATTGGAATGTTTTTATATGACTGCACATCACCCAGAGAAGCAAAGTCAACAGAGACTCGACAGGGTTTAACTGTGAAAACTAAGTGTAGAGAAAAATCCCAACCCTTAACTTGCAATGAAGCATTTTGTTGATGGCTTTTAAATTATTTAGTAATTTTATCTTAATGCCTCATTGCCCACAAATCTTTAAATTGGCTGAGCTATTGATGTGGGACAACAAATGTAATCCTCCTTTCCTCTACATATGTAGTGAAAATTACATTCTCTATATGAAAGTTATTTTTCTGTGATACAGTACTAATTCTGGCAATGAAATCGACCTGCAGCATAATGCTGCCACCACCATGCTTGACAGTTGGAATTTTTGAAAGCCTCACCTTGACTCCTCCAACCATATATGTTCTAATTATTGTGAAAAAGCTGAAATTTTTGCCTTATCCATTAGCAGAAAACATTTGGAATCTCCAGCTGCAAATTTCTGTCAAGCTTGAAAGCATACATTTTGGAGTGTGAATTCCTGTCTTCCTCTGTTTTCAGTGTTGACACTGACACTTGTACCTTGACAACTGCTGGATTGCTCAAACAGCACAGACACTGGAAACCCTGTTGAATCAGCACGCTTTCTGATTGGCTGCCTGTCGCATTGGACAGCCTGAGTTCTGGCTCCCAGTCAGGGAAAACCCCATACGCTGAGATAAAAGGGCCAAGACGATCCAATATGTTAAATATGCTGGATGGTCCCCACGTTCTGCGTAACCCGCCACACAGGCAGGATGATCGCTCCGCGGTGATAAAAAGGCTGGGGACCACTGCTGTAGGGTAAAGCTCTCTAATATAGCTGACATCACTGTACATGTTTTTGTTTTTTATTTTTCCATCTCGTCAGTGCTTTGCTCAGTCGTAAAGCAGCTTCCTGTGTATTTTTTTATTTATTTATTTATTTATTTATTTTCAGGAAAAAAACAATTGGCCAGAGCAGGGTTATTTAAATTCCAGTGAGTAATGCGGCTTCTAATTTAGTTTTCCTTCCAGACCCACAGCTTAACCGCTGAGGCACCACAAAATGAATTTAATGAGTCAGTGTGTTGTGACAACAGAACTGCTGATACAAGCCAGGCTGCTGCATTAAACCAGACAACAAGCAAGGATCAGTGTGTGGTCACTAGTAAACAAGTGTATTAGCCCTGCCAGTTCCTCTGCTCATTTCACTGTAACGCTATTTAACTGGTTCCAAGACAAATAAAAACAAATTTTAGACAGCGGTATAATACTGTTCCTGATTCCTTCTCACACAAAGGTGATATTATTAAAACTTGTAGTCTAGAAGCAAATACTGTCCCTCATGATCCTTTCTCATTCAGCCATGGTGTAACTACAAAGCTGATTGAGTGTTTGTTGAGCCAAAACAAAATGGTGTCTAATTTTGACATGGTAGGAAAAAAACAAAAACAAACTCTTTTTAAAAAGCTTTTCAGTTTCTTTTACAAAATATATTTGACTGACATATGGCTGAAATTGACAAATTGAATATTAAAATGACAAATTGAATATTAAAATAATCAACAACTAATTTAGTAATGAATTAATTGTCAACTGTGGCATACATTTTTGCTGAATATAGAAAATGGTGGTAACAGGATCGTGCTGTGGGGATGCTCTCCTTTAGATTTGACAGGAAAGCTGGTCAGACAATGGGAAGATCAATGGCAATAAATACATGGGAATCCTTGAAAGAAAAATCTGCAAGAAGCTCCACAAAACTTGAGAATGGTACAAAGATTTATCTTCAAGCATGACAAAAACTCTTAAACATGTAGCTCAAAATATATCCATTTGTTAGAACGGCCTGGTCAAAGCCCAGACTAGATATTAGTAATAGTTCTAGAAACTTTCTGTTAAAATTGTTTTCCCCATTTAGTATGACTAAACTCAAATTGTTATGTAAAAAAAGAAAGGCAGGAAAATTAAGTCGTGCAACATTTCACAGTATTTTACTTGGGGGTTGTTGAAAATAAATAATTTTGTGTTTTCCTTTTATCTCTTTTAGCAAAGCGAAAGCTAAAGGAAATGGCATCATAATTATCCTCTACTTTGTGTTAGCCTCACCTAAAATGTTAGGAAACACCTTCTAAGCTAAGGGCAGAGGGTATGACACACTGGGAAATGCCACCTTTAGGGAGTAGCTGAGACAGAGGCTAACAAAGGAGGTTTCCAATTCTTGCTTGTTCCCATTTTGGACCAGCTGTATTTTGGTATAAATAAATGCAATTTATGAATTCAACTCACTGGCTCTGCTTCAACCTTATACATCAAGGGCTTGATGGATACATTCTCCACAGGGTAACAGAATAAAAGAGGCGAATAAAATGATATATTGGTTCTTCATCATAATTATCCTCTGCTTTGTGTTAGCCTCACCTAAAATCCGTATCAACAATGGTGTTTGTGATTTTGATATTGAAATACAAGCCTAAACACAAGGCAGTATGCACATCTTTTCAAGGCACAGTGTGTGCTCGAAAGAGCAGACAAGAACTGAAGAAAAATGTTATCTACTTTGTTTTGGCACACTTTTAATCACATATTTTTCATATTTTCACTGTGGACAGCTGGATATAAAACAGGCCCCAGTCTCTGAAACATAAAGTCCTCAAGAACAACTTTATAAACTAGGCAGGAGGTTCAAACCTCTCCCCTAATGTGATATCCATGTAAAATACCCGTACAGGATGTCCATTATGTATTTTTGTGACACTCTGATTTCAGGCTCTGGCTCTGCTTGAATTCTTTTGGCTTTATCTGTCTGTTCCATGGGGGCTAATTGTGGGGTTTGTTTTGGAGCGGTGCTGATAACCTCAGGGCTATCGATGAGCTGTGTCCTTCCCACCCTGAGGCCAGAATGTTAGGGGGTTGCCTTTCCAGGATCCTGGTTCAAAAGGACATGGAAGCTTGAGGCAGTCATTTATTGGGCACCCCTTCCCCTCTTCAACAGGAACTTACAGTGCTAAATGACATGATCATATCTCTAAAAAGAGTTTGATTCTCTGGAAAATGTCGGCTGAGAATTGTGTTATCAACTTTTTTTGTGGCACCATGTAGGAGGTTTGAGTCTGCCAGGGAAGAGAGGGAAAGTGTTGAGAGCTCTTACAAGACTCTGTGGACATTCCTAATGGAGGACAGGCTGACCCAAAGGCTTTTATGGCTGTGCTGTGGAGGGTGTCTTCGGTATTTTCTTAAGTGTGTGCTGTAGGATTAAAAGGGTTTCTAGGAGAAACTGCTCTAAAACAAGAAGGTTGAACTTTAATTATATTGTCCTGTCCAGAGGTTTCATAACAAACTTGACTTTTTCTGCATTATTGGATCTTCTTTGCAGATCTTCTTATAGTATACTGAGGTGGACAGGCTAGAACTTTAATGATTTTCTTACAGACAAGTAGCATCTTTGCTGTCCCTCTTGATACCAGACCAACAGTGAAGCTTCTGCAAACACAGTTTTTTTTAGTCACTTGGGGCTTCCTTTTCTTAAGATCACTTCTAAAGTGAAAGCTAAATGTGTTCATCTTATGATTGAGATGATTGAGAGTCATCTCAGTCAGACAATACTGGCACTTACTACACTTTGTTTACAGTAGTTAAACATCCTTATTGTCTGATGGGACTAAAATAATGCAAAAATACTTTTTGGTATGCTAATGATAGTTTTCAATGCAAATTGGAACCATAAAAACTCAACTGGCAAAGTTAGGGAAAACCTAAATTTCTTAGTCTCGAAACTTTCACTTTACACTGAAATAAATTATATATGTAGCTATGAATGTGCCAATTTTAAAAAGCCAACATAAAAAGTTTATAGTTTAATTTTACACTATTATTTCTGTTTTTAGAAGAGTAAAAAAATGAGAACTGAATGTGATTTTAATGTGGCTATTTTCTTGGGGTGCTATAGTCCTGTGGAACTAAAAACCTCTCATTTCTCTTGTGAAATGTCAGTTTCACTTGGGGTCTATTCTGTCTGATTAAGCTACTGGAAAGGATTAGTGTCTTCAAATCGACTGCTCAACCTCACTCTAAACCCTCTGAAGGAGGAGTTCACAGCATCAAAAAGCCTAACTTGTATCATCAAGTTGAACACACCCAGTTCTATTTTTTATGCTTCTTTAAAAGCCTCTGTGAAACCATGCTGAGTCAGACGCAAATAGTTGTTGCCTTGAGAAAAAGATTAGATGTACTATTATACAGTGTGTTACACAGAGGCAGTATATTGATGGTATAAAAAAAATCAGTAGTTTGTGATATTATGCTAATGCAACAGTTTCTAGATTTAAGATCACTTCTAAAGTGAAAGCTAAATGTGTTGAAAAGAACAACCTCCAGCCCTGCAGGTTCCCACAGGGGTTGGCATTAGGTCCACTGCAATTTTCTCTGTACTTGACCATTAAAAGCAGCCTTAAAAACATTTTTTTTAGTCACTTGGGGCTTCCTTTCCTTTCTTTTTTGATGCTGTACTGCTGTGTGAGCCTGATGCAGTACTCTTGTTTCTGGCACAGCTTGAGTTGAACAGTCGATGGGTGTGGTGTGTCCTACGCACGCACAGGTTTGGTGATGTGGTGATGATTTTGGGGGTGGGAGTGGCCATGACCCCGGGTTTGCTGTTGTTTCAGCAGGATGAGGAGTTTCTGGTTGGTGGTCTGAGGTTCTGAGGTCAACTGTGGTCTTCAGGGACTGGGGTATGTTTAGTTGTAGACAACTTCCTTTTAGGTCCTCAGGGGCAATTTCACGAGAGAGAATGGCGCAATTTCACTAATTTGGCATGAGTATTTATGCGTAATGCAATCTGAATTTCATGAAGTCAAACAGGTGTGGCATTTCATATGCCCTGCATTAAATGCCAAAACAAGACATGTGAAAAAATAAAGATATAACCCAAAGGGGTTTTTATGAGTGTGTGTGTGTGCACCAATATAAATATCTCTCAGCTTTACTAACTATATTGACTTAAATTTACTGATGTCATAATATCAGTAAACCTCAAAAAAGTCAATTTTACATAATATCTCCTCCCCCGTTTTAGTCAACAAACCTGTTGCTAATACGAGAGCATTGTGGAAGTGAAGAAATCATTCAGGAATATTTAGAGTGCAGAGACAATCCTAAATGTTTATGTAATCTAATCTGGCTGTGCCAACTATGAAAACGCTGTGTTCTACAGTGTGTGTCAGAATGTGGTCATTTTCAAATGCCTCGATAGTTTTGCAGATCGCTGTGTGAGAACTGCTTCTTCCCATTCCCGTTAATGTCCCTTGTCGTGTTGAGATTTGCAGTTTTTCAGTTTAATGTGTAACTGGGTCTGCATCATGTTGTCATCTCCACTGTCTTGATACATGCCGTTTGATAGTGAAGCAATCAGTATTTTTCCTCTTGTGTTTCAAATCAAAACACTCGGTTGCTCAAATGGAGCAAGCCAGTTTGTAAATCATCTTTTGTCAGTTATATGAAACAGGAACTTCCTGACTCATCAGGATTCTTAGCTGAAGGTGAAGACTCTTCAGGTTAATTAAGACAGAAACATTGAGGCATTGTTTCCTGGGTGTCATGCTGAGCTACATGTGGGGCCTCTCAAATAAATCTACTGAAAACTTTGGACAAAATACATCTATTTTCATAAACAACATGTTCACCCAAATTAGGGAGTGTTTTATAAACATGCCAGACATAGTGCCTGTTTCATTCCTTTTAAGAAACAAAGAGCGAAACTGGTCACATAACTGCTCCAGAGGATTGATTAGAGATGTTTATGGCAGAGACGATGGGGAGTTAAACCAATTAAACAAGTTCCTTGCGACTGTACTGCCTCATTATTTGGCAAAACCATCTCGTCTCATTCTATCCAGCTTGTTAATGGTTGCTGCATCTGGTTTTACACTGAGCCAGGATGTTGTTGTGTCAGCACAGCAAGATTTTCCTTTTCTGATTATTAACCACATCCTGATAGCTGGAGGCAGATTTTGTGGTTTTATTGCATTATCTTTGCCAGGAAAACAAGCCTTGTATTGAATAATAGGCCCCCCGCCATCCCAACAACACAACAGAATGTGACTAACTGCTATAAAAGCAGACGCTTTCGACAAAAATGATGGAGCAGAAGTATATGGCATGTTTATTGTAATTACAAGAAAACAGTGCAGATATCCAAATAGGCACCAGCCATGTCAGGGTAATAACAGTCATTTCCTGCCTAATTTTCCCTCTGTGGAAAGGAAAATAGTTGATCATCTAATGCAGTGAGCCCCTTCCCCCAAATCCACTGGGCAAAATGGTGCTCCCCCCTCTCCCCCCTGTCATGTGGCCTTAGCTGTGGATTGAGTCTGAGGACAATAACCTCTCCACCAACCTCACCACTGACCCAACCCAAACTGCTTTTCCTGGTGTCAGATTTCCAGCAGAAATCACTGCTGATATAGGCTGACAGTGCTTCAAAGAGCTCATCAGGAGGATCAGAGGAGAGACATGTCAGATTTATCACAGTTGCCCCAAAAGTTGGCAGTCTTGATCAAGAACACTTTAGGGTCTTCAAGAATGACATGGTGCTGTGATGCCACCGCTGACGGCTTAAACATTAGATTAGTGATCGCTAAGAGGTTGCTGTAACAACTTTGTGCTAATTGTGCTTATTAATCACGTTACTCTAAGAAGCTGAAGACAGTTTACAATGTCTAATCTGTTTTGTTTGCACTGGCATAATAGTATTGCTCTTTTCCACTGCAAACCTGTGTAATGCTGACTGCTCTCGCATACACACAGTGTGACGTTGCCTCTGGTATTATATTGATAGTTGATCAGCCAAACAAAGGCAATTTTTAGGGCTGTATAAAAGACTGTAAACTTGAATTAACCAAGTTTAATTCAAAGGTTTAAGTTTTAATTTCCTAGTCTGCTTTATCACAAAATAAAGTGGAATGACTTAAAATGTATATTGGCCTGTCAGACACTAAATTGTTTGTAGAATCTGAATTTCTGTTCAAGACACATATATAATTACTCATACTAAAGCTACTTTCACCTTTCTAGACAACTGAAATGTCAAGAAAATTGAATACACTTATTGTCTTTGTATTATAGACCAAATCCACAGAGATTTCTCATACAAAGCTGCTGGTCCACACCCCCAACAGAATGAAAAACAGAATGTATATGTGACAACAACCTGCACCTCGCCTGTGTTTTCTCATCCTGCAGCCTGTTGGGAAGGAAAGGTCAAATTGATAACATACTGGCTGTGAATGCAGAGCATGCAGGTCTCTGCCTCTAACATGAACAGTACCTCAATGCTTGCCTCACCAAATCAGTAAATCAGAACTATTAAGACAATATCACTTTGTATTGTCTCTCTTGGTGCTGAGTGAGTGAAAAGGCTTATATCATTTATCTAAAGTGGCTTGGAGTTGTGATTTCCTTTGTTTATCCGCTCCTGTTCCTGCCTTCATTTTTTGCAGTGACATTAACAGTCATCAACACCTGGTGATCAGATTGTATACTGTAAACACAGAACCAGACGTTTGGCCCTTGCCAGGGATGATGCTAGCTTTTAGCCAGAAAGCTGTTTGTTTTCGAAACAGTGTTCTTGATTGTGTTGAATTTTGGTCCAGGTATAAATACAGTGTCTCTGCCTGATCTTTAGGAATTGCCAGTAAGGTTTTAGCAGCATGTCGTTCTGTTAGTGGTTTCCTGGTGCTTTGGCTTCACAGCACATTATTTCCTGTGACAACAGGATCTAATTCTGCAAGATTTTAGTTTGAGATTTCCACATGCATGCTCTGCTTCAGTGGTTCTTCGTGACTTGCAGGTATTTTATTTTTCTTTTAGAGTTAAAATGAATCATATCAGCTTCTATCTTTTCAGGTTCAAAGTGCTGAACCCAAACATAACCATATTTTTCTGTGTGGTAAATATGGTTTCTATCAGTTTATTTTTATGCACAACAGTGGGTTTGAGTCACATGGGGCCTGTGAATGACTGTCATCCTTAAAGCGTGCAAGCGATTGTGCTGAAAGTGCTTGCTGAAGTCCAAAACATTTCATAGCACTCACACATGCAATAGCAACATGCAAAGTGTGACTTTTGTCACTGAATAAATAATACTTAAATAATAGTTCCTCATTTTTATTTATGCACAAAATTTTCAGTCAAGTCAGCTCTGTGAAAATATGTAAAAGCTATTCAACAGAAAGCCGGCCTTGCATGGAAGTGCAAAAAGAATCCAAAATTACATCAGAAAACTGAGATCTAAAGGAGAATTTTTTTATATTTCAATCATTTCCAGTTGGCATAACTATTAAACTGCATGAGAACTTTATGATGATATATAGCACATACTTTTAAATCAGAAATATATAATAATAATCTTAAATTTACCTTTTATAATTGTTCTTTAAAATCCATTCAAGCCAAGAGCATAGTGTTTTGGTTTTTTTTTAGAATATAAGTCTGAGACCTTCACCTCTTTACCAAAGTACTTCTTTGTCAGATAATTTAAACTTCTTTTAGAAAAAAAAAGATTATTTTTAAAAACTAAATGTCTGCTAAAATAAATTCTAACTGATAACAGTACATGTACAATAGAAAATCTAGGTTTATTTTATGGGTCTAAATACATAAGATTATGCTTAGTTCCTTATTCAGTAACCATTTTTAGCAGATCTAACTATATTATGAAGTTTTTATGATGTATACTTCCTGCATGAAAAATTCTGTATCCTACATGGATTGCTTTATGCATGGGGTGTCCAACTGGTTCAGTCTAAATGCAAACCATCAGTTTCTATTATATAAACTTTCACCCGTATTGTTAAAAAGCTCCACCAAAGGTTTTTGGTGGAAGCCGACAGACTCATTAGCCAAAAAAAACACCAAAAAAAAAAAAAATCTATGTCCTTGTGAGGGAAGGGAAGACAAAGTGTTACAGCAGATAAAATGAAATTCCAATGTAGGTTTAAAAGAAACAGTCCTTTCTCTGATCAACCCACGTTGCTTCAATGTTTTTACTAAGATGATTTCTCCTACTTGTGGTCACAGCACCACAGATGTGAATTCACGTGTTGATGACCTAAAACTGTGGAGAATCTCTAAATGTCAGTGAGCAACAATTACGTATGCATCTTTTGTTTTCGTAGGCCACACACAGAAGTCCTTGGAGAAGTGAAACACATCCTAACTCATAGCTTTCACTTCTTTACATTGTACAGGAAAAAGAAAAGAGATTCTAAGCTCTTAACTCTGTGCTGCATATTAAGAGAAAATAATTATAAATCTTATATTTATTTTTGGAAATGTCAGCTGGATTTCTCATATTTGTGTTATCATCATATTTGTGATATTTCAGACAATTATAGTCACATAGTTATAAGAATTTCCCTTAAAAACACCTCAAATATTTCTGAATGCAGAATTAATTACACGTACATTCTCACACCAGTGTTTATTACCATTAAATAATTTTCAGCAACTATTTGATGTATGATGTTCAAGGCTTCTGTTTTTTTTAAAGCATCCCTTTTCATGTTTCATTTTATTGTGACCATTTCGATTTGAGCAGTTTGGAATAAATTGCAACTTCAAGGCTTACCTAATATTATTTTAAGCAACACTTGAATTTCTCAATCTCTTTATGCTGCATTTGATACATCGTGGTCATACTTTCATACTATTTTCTTTTCCAAAACAACATAGTTTATACACCTTCAGACTGAAATACATTGCAGAAATATATAAAAAAAGTATGTTCTGACCAATGAATTGTATCACAAACTATGCACATAATTTTTGTTGCGTTTCATTTCTAACAGTGCAGTTTAAATGGAGTGAGAATGCACTTTAATCTTTAGATCTTCCACAAAAAGACAGAAAATACAGATATGATTTAATCAATGAGCAATAAAAAACAACTTAGTTAAAGATTTAGATGTCTCAAAATTTTAGCATTTGGTGTTAAATTATGCAAGCTCACTTTTTTATTGGCTTAAAGTACTGCAAGCTTCCCACATTTAGTTCAAAATTAGAAAGAGTGTTACAGTGAACCAGTATTTCAAAAAATGTGACCAAGTTATAATTCTAAAAGTTTCTGTTTAAAGATGTATGACAGCATGATAAATGACAGAAAAACAGATCTTTCATATTTAAAAGAAAAAGTTTCAAAGTGCAGTTTTTTGCATGAGGCAGCACATGGCTTTTATTCATGACAATAGCGTGAGTGCAGTATGAGGAAGTCTGTCAGTGCATTCATAAGACTACAATGAAATGTTCCCAGAACAACATCAAGGCTGCCTTTCCATTCTGTAATTCACAATTTAAAAAAATGACACATTCACAAAAGTGAATTACAGAATGACTTTTAATACCTAACATACAAAAAGCCCTGTACATATAGCTTAGCTCTTTGTTAACTTAATAGATAACATTCTAAAGTTAGCACCACAATATACCATACATATATACAGCAATACAGGTACATTAATATGTTAATATCAAAATTGTGCAGTTCGGTGATCATATTCCCCTAATGCATCACAGGCTGAGAAACTGTGTCAAACACAATTACAGTATAATCCACAGGAAACAGAAATGTGTAAGTAGTTGTAAGAAATCCTCGCATGTGAGAGTAAGGTCAAGTGGTAATACTGCAAAGCAGAGGTTGTTAAATCCATAGTTTAAAGAATTTGCCCTGAGATGAAGTCCAAAATAGGAAAAACTCTCCTAAGAAAGGTAACTGAGAATTTTCAGACAGAAGACTCGCTGTGGAAGACCTTCGCTCTCAGATTCTTTAGGCTCCATTGCAAACTGGGGCCGCTCTCAGACTGCATGGCCTCAGAGAACTTGACATCAAACGAACGGGAGGCCTGAGACGTCTTCTTGAAGGAGTTCTGGATTGTCTCTGAGGTGAAGTAGTACACGATGGGATCAAAGCAACAGTTGGACACAGCAATGCAAAGGGCTATCGGGTAGATTGTTCGAACTACAGACTCAGTAAAGCATCCCTTTATGGTTTTGGTGCGGACCAGAGCATAAAACACCAGGTTGACATTATAGGGGATGAAGCAAAAGCAAAAAATGCACAAGTGCACGATTATCATCCGCAGGATCTTGGTTTTGTTCACCTTTCCCCCTCGACTCACAGTCTGAGGGCGCCGCAGCGTCTGTAACACCATGATAGAGCAACAAACGTTGAGTAGAAGAGGAATCAGGAAACCAACTGTCTCTATAAAGATCACCACTTTAGACAGGTGGGATTTCCAGGTATTGGATGAAAAGTTCTCAAAGCAGAAAGTGTTCCCATGAGTGTCCTTTGTGGTACTATTTAGCAGAAACCCAGTAGGGAGGCTTCCTGAAAGTACCAGGACCCACACGGCAGCGCACACTATCCTGGCGTTGCGTTTGGTCCTGAGCATCCTCGAGCGAAAGGGGTGCACGATGGCCAGGAAGCGGTCCACGCTGATGCATGTGAGAAAGAGCATGCTGCCGTACATGTTGGTGTAAAAAAGCGAGACGGAGATCTGGCAGAAAATCCCCCCGAAGGGCCAGTTCTTGTTGATGAAGTAGAAGACCCTCAGAGGCAGAGTGAAGACAAACAGCAAGTCAGACACCACCAGGTTCATCATGTATGTGGTGGTCTCGTTCCTTAATTTTAGAGAGCATGTGAATATGTAAAGGGCCACCACATTTGTGATGAGTCCGACCACAAACACAATGCTGAAGACTGTGCTGTACAGGGGGTACTTGAACATGTCATTCTTGCTGCAGTTTGAATTGTCCAACAGGCTTGTAGTGTTATTCATTATGAGACAAAGCAACTGTCCATGAGTGAGAAGCAAAAACCAGAGCAGTCGAAAACAACAAGGCACTGTCAAGCCATCAGCAGTGATAGTTTTTCTGGTTGGGGAATTGTAGATTTGATTATCTTTCCTCTATTGGTGTACTTACTTTTGGAGATTGATGAACACTGAAAAGATTCCTCCCAGAGGACAGATATCCAGGCTGGTGAGTCTTCCCCTCCCCCTGCTCGGGCTCCCTTCACCAGGCTGCAGCCCACCAGATACAGACTCCCTTTTACTCACTCAGTTAAATGAGTCAAACAAAAATCCTTCACACTCATACGGTCCATTATTGGCATAAGGTGTTGGGTTATCCTCATTCAAAACTTTTAGAAGGCTGTCCTCATGAAGAGATTTTGTCCCTTTGTCCAAACTCAGAGATGTGTTTAGGATTGTTTCACCTCCAAAGGACCAAAAGTGTCACAAGTAGTCCATGCCTCACAGAGTCCGGACCATGTAGCGACATCTTTCTTTCCAGCAGTAGAACTGAAGTTTGTCTGAATCTTCTTGCTGTCTGGATTTGTAATAAGATGAATGCCTTTATTATTCTGATTTGATGATCTGTTCCCTCTTTCCTGTTCTTCTTCCTCTTAATAAGCCTTGTGTCTCGAGCTCTTCCTCTGAGAAGCGTCGCAGTCTTTCTCTCATCTCACTCAGGATTTCCACTTCTCCTTTGTGCCGGTATCAGACAGTTTTTGTAGTTTTTAGTTGAAGAGAGTAAGCAGTTGTTCTAGATCCCTCCCACACTCCTCCCAGGCGGCTCCTCCTACTCCCTTTGTCTGTCAGTTAAAGAATCAGTCATGAGCAGCAAAGAACAACACTGCAACTCAGGGGGAATTTACTGAAGTGCTTCTCATTTATGAACAGTACATTGATTAAACATTCAAACCCCTTGAACTTTTTACCATGTTGTGATGTCATAACCACAAGCTGGGGCAGAACAAAAAGTAGCACTTCAATGTAGAGTATGAAGAAAATGCATCTTAGTTTTCTGCATATACTTAGATGAAATTTGTATTCAGCTCCAGTACTTATCTTTTGCCATCTTCTTTATCCCTCAAGAGACCCAGCTCCAGCTCGGCCACACTACATAAAGAGGATCAGGACTTTAGCACTCAAATATTGTCCGTTATTTTCTCGCACAAGAAAATGCTTTGCTGGTATGTTTTAGGATCATTATCCTCCTGGAAGCTCAAGTATTTTGTAGACTAATACAAAAGACTACTAATAGGCTTTGCACAGAGTAAGATTTAGATTGGAGGACGAAAATCTCCACAATGGTCTCATCCGAGCACATGCTCGATGTTTCCCCTTTATGGCTTGTGGTAAAGTGCAAACGTAATTTTACGTGTCTTTCTTCTTCCCAGTCTTTCACAAATGACTGATTTGAGCAGAATCTCTAGCTGTGTTAGATTTTATTGAAAAGTATCATCACATGATCAAATCCCATTGAGCAAAAGGTGCATCTATCTGCATTGTAAGCAAAAGAAAATTTCCCTGAAAGTAAGTATAAGTGCATCATTACACTTCATTTTTCCTAGAGACTGCAGAGTTATGCACATTGGCTGACAAAAGTTCCCACAACATAAATGAATAACTGTTGAAATATTAGATGCAATCAACATTTCTTAAAAACAGAGGAAAGACAAAAATGAAACTGGAGGATCTCAAAAACAAAGGGAGCTGCATGACTTTCCAACAAGAGCTGCTTGTGAGAATGCAACAAAAATGTTCAGTATTTTCCATGCATGTAGACTAAGAAGTAGGAATGAAGGACTCCAAAAGAAACATCCAGATCTGTTGAAAATTTTTAGTTCAATCAAACCAAACCTGAACTTTTGGCCCTTAATCCCAAACCAGATTCCTTGTACACACATAAAACTCACTATAAAACAAGGCAGTGGTAGCATTATGCTTTGGGATTCCTCTTCCTTATGTAGAATTTAAGTATTTAACATTGTGGATGAAAAACCAGTCAGTTTTGATCCAAACATGCTGGTTTCTGTTTGAAAGCTTTACATAAAGAGGTATTTAATTATTTTTGCTCACAATGAGTCAAAGTTTCAACTCAATAAACAATGGCTTAATGAGAGAAAATTTATCATTTTGCAATGGGCTTGTCAGACCTATCAAAATTTAGTAGCAAATCTTTTAGGTCACGTGAACCAAGTGCTGTCTGGTAGATTCTGAGATCTTTTCCCAGGCAGCACTGGCAACTTTTATCAAGATGTAGGAGGATGATAGTTTGAAGGGTTTTACATCCCATACCTGAATTTTTAACAGGGGTGTATTTATTTTTCACAGCCACCATGTTTTTGTTTAACTGTTCCTGTTCAGTTCCTTGTTGACATAAACAAAACTTTTTCCATGTCAGTCCTGTTTTGTTTTCTTCCCTTGTTCCTGTTCCACATGTAATTTATTTTTGGTATTTCCTGTTTCGGTTATATGACAAATCATCTTAAAATGTTACAATGTGCAGGATACATAGGCTTAGGTGGCGTGATCTAGTATCAAAACTTTAAACATAGCTTAGAAACTTTTTAAAGAATTTTATGAGCCCTGCTGACTCTGTGTTTCTACTCTGACACACATCTAGTTTTACATATGATATCTGAATCCTTTCTTCCAGTAATGTCAACATACGTAGTGCGCAGGCTGTGCAGCGTGACAGACGCTGATAGAATCAGTTAAACCCCAGATAAGGACGGAGGGTCAATAAAGCGTCAGAAGGTCTCTGGCAACACTGGAAGTGCCTGAGGTGACTGCCTCCGCAGGTCCGATGGGGGTCGTTTTTATGGCCTGTGTGGGCTGCAGCTCTGCCAAAGGAGAACAGCTTTCTGTTTTCGTGGGAACATTAGGAATGGGACAGAAAGAGAAGCAGAAGGCCTTCTCTGTTCAGTGTAAAAATGCCTGCACAGAGCTTTTTAAATGACATTTAAAATGTTGCATTCAAGGTTTCCTTTAGTAGAAAGCCTTCTTGGCAGCTGGTAAAAACTCAGCTACTCATTAAGCAACGCTTAAAAGAGGAGTTATTCTGAAAGAACTCTCAGCTCCTCAATTTCCCCCTTTTTCTGAGTTAGAGACTGAAAACTACAAACCTGAATGTGCACTGAAAAAACACACTAAATCTTACCAAGCATATTTGATGTAGTTTCCAGTGGTAATACCTTAGTCTACTTGAAATAAGAGAAATAACAAGTAACTTTACAGCGAGAAATAATTCCTTAATACTGATGAAAAAGGAACACTAATGGTCTGCCAGTGGAACAAAAAATTATAACTGATAATATGGGAAAAATATATTGTTCTACTGATTCATTAATGCACTTACAGCTATCACTTTTTTGTCAAAGTTAAAAAATTATTGACTCCAAACAAGCGCCGATATCTTGCTGAAACATTGCTTGTTTGTTAGTTTTCTCTTGCTTCAAGCATTCCAATATATTTGCACTAGAAACTAGACCAACAATACTTGGTAAGATTTTGTGGTTCTGCACTATAGATTTCCTCTAATTGAATGAAATGTTGCAATTTTAGGATAACTTCAACTGTGTGTTGTTTGTTACAGTAATATTTTCTCCACTCTGGACATGAGAATCATGACTAATACAAACATGACTTCATGGGGAATAACAACAGTCAAACAAATGAAGGAAAATCTCCCAGAGTATCAAAGAGACAAACGGACATGTTGTGTTTCATGGTGCAAAAGCCCTTCTTTGTCAATCTGCTGCAAAATAAACACCATCAAGGCCTTAGAGCGAAATGTTCTGTGCCATTGTCTTTTACAGGCAAAATACTTCCATCCAGAATATAAAAAATAAGCTCTTCACATGCAACTATGTGGTTTTTGAACAAAAACAAGGGGGGTGAAATCCTTGGGTTGTCAAATCTCTCACAATGGCAGGAAGCTGTCAGACAACCTCCTCCATCCCACCTCCACCTCACAGACCTCAAGGGTGAGACTCAAGTCATGACGTGGAGGTGTGATGATCATGAGGACTCGTCACAAGTGTGGTCAGACTTGGTGACATGATGACCTCAGGGTGACAAATCAAATCTTTTCAAATCTGTAAAAGGATGAGCTGCAACAGGAAAAAAACCTGAGTGCCTCAGCAGGGTTACACGCAATGTGATGACGCACACGTTACAAAACTTAATGTTAGATATGAAAGCAGAAAAGAAAATGTTCACATTGTTGGGTTTTTTTAAAGTAAAAGTACCAACAATGCGATGTACAAACAGTACTGCTTTACGAACATGTTTTGCCACATCGTGACCACAAACTTCCAGTGATATGATGCGACTTGTAGACTAACAGAAATCATAAGCTTTCAAGAAAGTGAAATATGGTTTTCATTTTTTAAATAATTCTTTATCAGAAAGGCTCTCTGAAAATGGGGAACGTATGATACAACTGTAACATCAGAAGAGAACATTTATTAGAGAACATGTTCTTGGTAAATTACTAAATTTACACTAAATCGCACTTTTCTCGTCATACCAACTGCTAAAAGAACTTTCCACTAGAGCCAGATTCATCTGGTTGCACTCATTGGCAAGCAAAACTAACACACTACTACTCAGATCACAATGAGGCAACTTGCGCATTGACTTGTTGCAAGAGATGTCCTAATTCAGACCTACATTCAATTGGGAATCAGTATGAAAATGTTAAATTTTTTCATACATTTGTATGCTTTGTCAGATGTTGGTACTTCCACTGCTTGTGTTGAAGAAAATTTTACAACAGAAGACCATGAAAAGACAAACACAAGTTCTAGAGCAGCATTTCCTGTTTAACCTCTTTGCAGTGTCGTAGAAAATCTGCTAACCAGCCAGAGGCACACATAGCTGCCTTGTCACCTCATTTTACTGCAGTAGTTCCGTCCTGAAGAGATAGTACAACCTTCCTTCGAAAAAACAGAATTGCTGATCAGTCAGTGATTATCAATGAAGCGTAAACATTCACTTA